TTTAAAAAGTAATAAATTTTAATTATTGAAAATAAAAATAAAAATAATTAAAATTTTAAATAAATACGATATGTAAAATTAGTATGCAAATAAATCCCTTCTCAAACTAATTATATAATACCACTGCATTTGTAATAATAAGAGTCTAACTAAATTGATACTTATTAATTTAAAATTTTTAATTTAAGATAAAATAAAAGGTTCAAATCATTGGCTAATCCTCCTATTTAAAAAAAGAAAAATTATCTTATTGCATTTCTAGACTACAGAAATCATTAATTTGTCTTTTATAAATAAACTGTTTTGTTTAATTTGTTTAAAATATAGTACTAATTTCATGTCATTAACATTAAATAAAATAATAATATCAATCTTAAAAATTTCCAATTTTTGAAGTATATTTGTGATTCACACAATCTTAATTAACAACGGAATCTCACGATAGAGATTAAGAACTTTGAAAGATGGTTTTTGCGGTACTTGTCATGGCCATATGGATGCGTTTATACTAACTTATTTGGGTGTTTTAATTGGTTAAAATCTTAAAATTTTAAATTAAATATCTAAAATTGAAACTTTGAGGCAGATAAAAAAAATTAGGTAAAGAAAGAGATTATTTTTATTATATAATATCGTATATCATCTAATGTAAAAAAATAACAATAATAATAATAATACCAGCATACTTACTACCGCCCTGGGAAGTACAGAACCCGGAAACCAAAACCGGTTTAGCAATGATATATAATTTCTTGGGCTTGGATCTGAAATGTTAACAAATATTAGGCTGAATAGTGGAGCCCAAAACTATTGGGCTCACTTATTGCTAAGGAATGAGCCCAAAATAAATACAACCCCCGCCGGAATGTTTCTAGTCACCTGTTATCTCAAATATCTTGTTTTTAGTGTAAATAGGATGCGTATGCGTACATGGAGAAAAGATATAAATAAGAATACCAAACTTTACGCACTGACTCGAAGGGTAAAGTGGCATTTTGTTACGTTGAGGTGTATCTTTTTTTTTTTTTTTTTCGTTTTTTTTAAATTATACCGGATTGGTTGGTCAAATTGACATCTGGTACCATAAATAGATCGAATAAGTGTTTAGAACTAGTAAAAAGGTTGAACTGTTCAAAATTGATAAAACCACTCAAATCAATGTAGACCATTAAACCATTTAACTGGATGATTTAAAGTTTTTGGAAAATCTCCTTTACCTTTGTGTCCTCCAAGCTTTCAAAGAGACTTTCAATCACTTCCACCACCAGGACGTGACCCATTGGTTTGAAAAGGACTTAAACTTTTATTTATTTTACTTTTAGGATGAATAGAATTGCTTTCCAAGCCATCTAATTTTAAAATTAATATAA